AAAAAAGTCATCTTTTCACATCTAAATATATTTTCAAAGGAGATGCATTAAAGTGCTTATTTTTTGTTATTGGGCAATTATATATTAAAAGCCAATGTGTTTTCTCCTGAAAGCATGATTTCAACCAGTTAGCAGCATTTTCTCAAACCCAAGTATGTCATGTAGAAGTTCCTTTTGTTTTGTTACTCATGCTTTTTTTATCTGCAACTTTTTTCATGCGTTCCCCAACCATATCCTTCATCCTAATTTTCATCTTCCTTCATCTTATTGATAAAAATTTCTTCCTGGTCCTTCTTTCTCAAAGTCACACACACCAGACATTCCCTCTGAATCATTTAGGGGCATCTGGGCTTCTCACTGATTTTTCTGGACCATCCAAGATTTTTTCATTGGTAACTATACATTAAGGTGAGAGAGCTTTTTAAAAAATATTATAATAAAGGATAAATTATCATTCAATGGAATTGGAAAGTGGGTGGTGACAAAACTGAGAGAGATTTGACAAGAGTTGGAAGACACAAGGCTTCCAATTTTCTTTTAGCTGCCACAAAGGAATAAGGAATCAAAGCTAAAGGAAGGCTATTGCTTGCTCTTAGAGAATCGGTGGGCGAAGCACAAAAACAGAAATGTGGAATCAAGAGATTGAAAACTGAGTGAACCTCCAGCTTTATCTTAGATGAAACTCTAAATTATTCTTCTGGGGTCCGTGTCAGCACCACTGGACAACTCATTTCTTACCAGTTGCCCAAAATAGAGAAATATTAGTTTGTACTAGAGCAAGAAGCCAGGAATGGTGGGGTCACTAGTCACAGAGTAGAAAATGAAAAAGTCACATTGGAGATAGTGGGTGGAGACAGAGTCTCCCTTCCAGTATCCTTTAAATCCCAGGACACCAGATCTGCACCACGATTTCTAATCTCTGAACATTTACAGATAAAAATTACCCTTATATAGTTTAATTGAAATGTTAATCTTCTGAGGTGCTCCATTTCATTCCCTTGGTATTCAATTTATAAGTGGCTTTCAATTAAATACTTCTTTTTAGCTACTTCCAAACAAATATTGATTGATTGGTTGAGTACATTCCTCTGCCTTAAGGATAGCTGAGAATATAAACAAAGAGAATCAAAGAGCTCATTTCCCTTGTCAGTAACCCAGGGCCTCTTTTACAGAGCTTTATGCAGAGTAGACACTGAGCATCATTTTTTTTCTGATGGGCAAGTTACATATTAGTAGACATTTAAAGACATTTTTGAAGCATAAAATATCAGGCCATCTGCTGGCTCCTTAAGTATCCTGTGATCAGGACAATATTGTACATCACGATGGAAGTTAGAGTGTTGGTAATATTTCTGAAGCAAATTAGAATGACACGTGCAAAAATACAATTAGAGAATGAGCTTTGGGAGCTACCTTTCCTCTGTGATTATGTTGAAAGCATGCAGTGTCCTTAAAAAAAAGAAAAATTTGCAATTAACATTAATTCATTAACAAGCAGGTATCAAACAACTACCCTCTTTATCCTTCTTAATTTCAAAGCCCTAACATGTATTGTTGGAAGCTACCAGCTTCCTTCACCCCGACCTTTCTAAGTGTGTTCCTTGATGGCCTGCAGGCTCCGGTCAGCCTGGGACCACACGCTAGTATATGCAGAAGTATTTTTTAATGGAAATACTTACGTAGCTCTTCTCAGTGACCCAACAGCTTGAGCAATAACTTTTAGATTCATTGGAGACTCTGCTCCTGGGACCATCCTCTGAAGCATTCACAGTTCACATCCAGCTGCACAGAATACTGAAGAATGATAAATGTGCTTTGAGCACTCCATCTTCAGCCCCTCTGGAAGACTTCAGTCTTGTTTTCTGGTAATCTAGGAGCCTTAGGGACCTCAGAAATTGGCACACTCCATGAAAGTCCAGCCTTTCCTTCTAATTCTGATTGAAATTAGAATTCTCACTGACTAGGGGGATTCACCCAGAGCAGGTTCCTAATCAAAATTGAAACAGTGAATTAGAAAATCTGCTCATACTTCTCCAAGGAATAGTTTAATTTTCAAACTATTTTCAGATACCAAATGCAAGAACACAGATGCTGGAAAATAGAGTGCACTGTTTACTTGCTACGTTACCGATCAATATTTCAGGGAGTATGTTATAGGCAAAAAATATCTTTGCTTTTGAAATCAATGCTTGAAAAACCTTTTGATCATTGCATTTGCATTCTTATGTTCATATTTAACAGGGAGAACCTGGTGCAATGGGGTTGCCAGGACTGGAAGGATTTCCAGGTATAAAGGTAAGTACAAGGTTAGAAATGTGTTGTGATGAAACATTCAAAAATGTTTATTAAGGGAAAGGGTAGAGCTCAGTGGTAGAGTACATGCTTAGCATGCATGAAGTCCTGGGTTCAATCCCCAGTACCTCCATTAAAAATAAATAAGTAAACCTAATTACCTCCCCCCTCCAAAAAGAAACCCAAAAATTTAAAAGAAAATGTTTATTAAGAGCCTACAACTGCATTAGGGATTGTTTATGTTTGGGGATACAGGGGGGAACGAAATAGACAAAAATCTTTGTCTTCTTGGAAATCATGTTCTATGAAGGGAATACAGAAACTAAATACACAAATAACTAAATAATATTGTTGCTAAGTGCTGTGAAAAGAAAGAAAATGTAGTTCAGATTCAGGGAATCAGCAGTGTCAAAGGGGAGGGTGGTGGCTTTCAGTCAGGGGTTCTGAAAAAGCAAGAACTGAGCAAAGACTTAAGAGGTGGAGGGCAGTTAGCCAGGCCCCCCAAGCCAGAAGGAAGAATGTTCCAGGTAGGATGAGCAGGTTCTGGACATTTTAGTGTAGAGCAAGGTGACGAGAGGTAACCGTAGTATACTGTGTACTAGAAATTTGCTGTGTCCTCACCACACACACACAAAATGGTACCCTGTGTGAGGTGAGGGAGAAGTGAATTTGCCTGATTGTGGTGATCATTTCATAATGTTTGTGTATATCAAATAATCAAGTGCACATTTAATGTGTATCCAATGATAATTAATAAAAAATTATGTTCAAAAAACCCCAAATCATCAAGTGCCACACCTTAAATGTATACAACTACGAAAGTAAAAGTAAAAGAAGAAGAAGGAGAAACAGCAGGTGTAAATGCCCTAAGACAGGCATGTTCCTGGTACATCCAAGGAGACCTAGGGAGTGAGTGAAGGGGCTGTGGTAAGAGATGACATCAGAGGGGAATGGAGGTAAGGGGCGGCCCTATTCAATCTCCGGTCCCTCCATTAAATAAATAAATAAACCTAATTACCTTCCCCCAAACAAAAAACAAACAAGCAAACAAAAAAAAGAGAGAGACAGAGAGGATCAAGGACTGAGCCCTGAGCCCTCCAACATTAGGAGATCAGGAAGAAAAGGAGGAATGAGCAAGGAAGATGTAGATGAAATGACCAGGGAACTAGGAGGAAATGTTAGTGTCCCGAAAATCAAGTGAAGATTAAGTATTAAGGAGAAAGAGTGATCATCTGTCCCAAATATTGTAGATGGGTCAAGTAGGGTGGTCAAGTATTGGCTGTTGGAGTTAGCAATCTAGAAGTCATGCATCACCAGAGAAATTGTTACTATTTGTTGGTAGGAGCAACGGCTGAACTTGAATGGGCTTGGGAGAGAATGAGAAAACGAAGATTCAGAGACAGCAAACACAGTCTATACAAAGTTCAAGGAGTTTGGGGGGCAAAGGAAAGCAAAGAAATGGACCAGTAGCTGCTGGAGGAAGTAGAACAAGATTTGATAAAATGGATTTTAAAACCATAGAAATGCCAGACTGTTCCTCTGCTAAAGGAATGATCTAGTAGAAAGGGGAGAAGGGAGAGTTGCTGGAAAGATATCCTTAAATAGCTAAGAAGGAAGGGGACCTATTGCTTAAATGCAGGATTTGGCTTCATAGAGAAGCCCGGACAGTTAATCTATGGTGACAGGTGGGAAAACAGAGCGTAGGGTACAGATGCTGGTATGTGGAAACATGAACTGGTTGGAGTCTCTAGGAGTTCTTTTCTGATTTCTTCAATTTTCTCAAAGATGGAGGGATCAAGGTCATCATCTGAGAGTGTGGTAGGAAGGAGAGGTTGGGAATTTAAGGAGAAGGTCTAAGAGAGAAGGCGAGTCCAGGGACCACGCAGTGTGATGGCTGAGCAGAAGCCCCTTGAGGTGCATGGGCACGAACACAAGTGAGACCAGCCGGTGAGATTATGTGTGCTTCCACACCCAACTACAGACCCTCAGCTAAAGGCACAGGACAAGAGTGGAGTTAAGTTTTAACAAGACTCCCTTTTTCTTTTAATTGAAGTACAGGTTCCAGTTTTGACACGTGAGTACCAAAAGCAAGAATGAGGCCAGTAAGCCAACAGCACACACAGGGGAGTGATTATAACATGGAATTTAAACTAGATAAGCGAGGGGGAGGGGCCATCTAGGGAATGAAGGACAATGGAAAATGTGTACCATGGATGGAAGTCTTGGTATCATCAAAAGTTTGGTGGGGGATCCATGGGATTCAAGGGAGTGACAGAGAATAATGGAAGATGGTGGTCCGAGGTTGCAATGCATGAATGGAGGTTATGGAGGGGACGGACTTATTGTTATTGACAAGCTCAGCTGTCACTATGGAAACGAGAGGCCAGAACATTAGATGAGAGTGGTTCAAAGAGCTGTGAGAGAGACGCATTGTTGGAAGGACCATCTTATCAGAGAGGAGCCCCCTTAAGGTTAATCTTTATTGGTTATGCAAATACTGAATGAAATTGAATGAAAAGCTCCAGTATATTCATTTCAAGGGCAAACTCCTGTAATTTAAAAGGAGCAGAGCAAAACCAGCAAGGATTACCTGTTTCTCACCCGTTTTTCTATTAGTTCTTTTTTACTCTTTTTTTTTTTGATGGCAGCTTTGCTTTATGTATTAAAAATACTACTTCTATCCTATATGGTGGGGACTTTATCCTAGTTGGTCCTTGCCTTTCATTTTTGTGTTTAGTCTTATTGCATATGCAAATACAACTTTTATGTAGTCAAATCTAAAACTATTTTCCTTTTTGATTTCTTGTTTGGCTCTTATGCATTAAATGACTTTCATTTTCATGCTCAACCAAAATCAGATCATCTGACTTGTGTTTTCTCCTAGTTCTTATTAATTTATATTATTTTATTTTTATATAATCTACATGGAATTTATGTAGAGTTTAATGTAAATAGGAGTGAAACTCTTTTCAAAGAAATTATTCAATTATTAGCACTATTTGTTGAATAATACAGCTCTTTCTTTACTAAAATCCTATTATAAATGTTGGTCTGTGTTGGAGGTTTCTGTTACATTGCATTGATATACTGCTTAATCTTAGGCCAATATTCCATTTTTTCAAATATTGTAACTTTATTGTCTGTTGAAATACTGTATTGCTAACTATTATTCCTATTTTATTTTTTTCCTTTTATCTTCAAATATATTTATTATCCTGGGTGAATTTTAATATCATTTGATCAAGCCGCAATTTGTAAAAATCGCATTAAATTTATAAATTAGTTTGCATAGCAGTGACACCTTTACGACACTGTCTTACCCTCCAAGAGCAAAACATCTCTCTCCATTTAATCAAGTCTTCTTTTATGTCCCTGAGTGAACTTACGAAATTTTTTAACGTAGCTTCTGCTCAACCAAAATTGGCATTTTATTAGCCCATATATAATCACAAGTATTTTTCGCCTTGTCAGCTTTATCTAAAATACCACATTGCCTTTGGAAAAAAAGAGGTGAGTCACTCTCCTGGTCAGAGCAATTCCAGGGATCTTCTTATTGGCCTAATGAGGAGAAACCACAAATTCCCTCATTCTAAATACATTTATTCTAACCCTCCATCCAATGAGGCAAGTATAGGGACCACTTTTACGGAGACATTCTGTGTGCTACCTCTTTTAAGAATTGGTAATGAATTGCTTTTGAATATATGGAATAAAAATATTAACTCACTTTTACCTGTAGGGATGTGTGGGGTTCTATCTTTTAAAAATAAGTCGCAGAATTGATGACATGAATGCATGTTTACATTAAGGTTATTATTTGCTTTGGTTTATGAAAAAGGAGAGAGAGAGCTTCAGTCGGTTCCACCGGCTGCAATACTCATTTTGTTATTTTCTCCCCTGTGCTCGAGCCTCATACCACCTGCTATTGATCACGCTTACAGGCTCCAAAGAAAAGCTTTACCAAATCCAGATTATCCTTTGAGCATGACTTTGTATCGGTGGAGATCTGACAGATATCATTATAAGTAGTGCTTCTCTTCCAGGGAGACCGAGGCCCAGCAGGTCCCCCAGGGATGGCCGGGATATCGGTGAGTCCACATCATCTCGTGCTGTTTTCTAGGTACCATCAGCAGGGCTGGATGTACACGGTGACTTCTGGAGCTTCCAGTTAAAAACGAACCGTCTGTCCCCCCTCCCCCCTCGAGAATGCTCCTTTATTTTCATCTTTTTAAAGTTCTATCTTTGCTTTTTCCTTCCCAACTCACTTTCCTGTGGGTACAGGGAGCCTCGTCACCTGTGACGATACATGAACATAGCACAGCTCTGAGAAGCGTGTTACATTTCTCTCTTCTTGTCCTATTTCAAGGTTTCTTGAGCCTCCAAAGTTCCCATCCGCAGGCATGTGCTGCCAGTGCTTCGTATTCAGCTGCAGTCTGCCTGATTTTCCCTCAGCCTGGTGTTATTAGCAGAGCTTTATCGCTGCTAATATTTCCTCGTAAACTAGCCCGTCCTTCCTCTTCATCATTTTTGTTGCTCTCTGGTGTCGGATGTTTTCATCTCATCAAGGTCTTTTCAGAGGAATAGGAAGTGATCCAGGAAAGGTTAAAATCATTTCTATGAGCCCTGGAGACTACTCTGATCTTCATTCACGATGCTCTAATTAAAATTTTGTGGTCATGCTTTATGAATAAGAGCCCATTTTTATTCTCGTGCTAGGTGCCCCCCAGGGTGGGCCAGGGTAGGAAAGTCAGTGGAAACCAGGTGCTGGAATCACAGGAACCTGAGGAAGATAGGAAAGGGCCCCACCATCTCCACCGACCACCAGCCACTGACCTCCACTGACACCACCCAGAGCCTGGGACCACCACCCATCAAACCCTCAGCCCTCAAAGGGCCAGTAGCCACTCTGCTTCCTTCTACTTAGTTGCTGAATCTAACAGCAAAAGGTAAAAATCCATCCATACTCTATAGAAAATCATCCTGTTTAGGTGATAACATCCCCTTCATTTGCTGTTTTAGGTCAAGTTCAATATTAGTTTGACTGCAAAAGCAACATGAAAATATTTGCTTTAGGGAGCACTGCAGAATCTTTTACACAAGAAAGGATTCTTCTTGAAATCCAGCTCACACTTAATCCCTTCCACTCCACCCTCCGCCACTACCATTCCTAGCAACCTATTTGCAACTCTATTTCTAGAATTTCCCTGAGTCCCCTTACAACCTGCCTCCCTTAGAGTCACACCCTGTTTTTGTCTAAATGCCCTCGCTGTATCCCCCAGGTGTGACTATCAATTACTTCCAACTGTCACCTTAAATTAAGTCTACCTTCAAAAAAAAAGAATACTAGCCACCATTGAAAGTATTTAACAGATAAGTGACCAGCTCAAAAGGCAATCTACAGGAAGAATTCCAAGGATATTTTTGAAGGAGGCAGTGTGATGGAAACAAGGCCAGCCTGCCACTTGTTTGGACGTCTGAGATCAAATACATTTACCAAAAACTGCAGTTTTCATATCTCTTCATTAAGGAGATTAACTGACAATTACAGAGATAGGGAAGCAGTAAAAAAAAAATGCACACTGCAAGTATACAACTGGGTAGTTAAAACTACAACTTTATTTTTTATAACTGGACCTTACTGTGGCTCAGAAAATGAACTAATTCAAAGATTCTGGAAGGAGTATTGATGGTTACACAACAGTTAGTATACTTAAGGCCACTGAATTGTACTCTTAGAAATGGTTAAAATGGTAGTCTTATGTCATGTATCTTTTACTACAATAAAAGAAGAATTTTATGGGGATGCTCCGGTTGAAGGAGAGATGCGTTTACCTGTTCAGCAGATCGCAGGCCTCTGCTGAGAACCAAGGGGCCCAGTCTTGCTCCTCCTGGAACAGACCAGGCCTTCCTAGTCTGCCCAGCCAGTGCAGAGACTTCTGCAGGGCTCTTCCTCCCATCCCCCAGCTCCCAGGACAACACCCAGACACAAAGGGGAGCAGCTACACGTGCCCGTCGAGGGTGTGGGCTTGGGGCAGTGTGCTCTCCCCAGGTCCCCTGAGTTCCCTGCTGGCACTACCAGCCTTTGGGATTACTGCTGCCTGCTATCAACCCCACAGTCGCTTTGTCTCAGATCTCAGGGTCCCAAGCACTCTGCACCCCTGAGTCTGCACCCAGACCCTCTGGGACACTGGCTTTGTCAGCTTTAACCCTCCCCCATCTCAGGTCCCTGGGATTTCAGGAGCTCCTGCTGCACACACAGGCATGCCTGAGGAGACGGGGATGCCATCTCAGGCCTCGTGCCTGCCTCCCTTCACCCCCCAGCCAGAGCCCACCTGCCAGCTCCCAACATTCTAAACAGCAGGTGGGGGAAAAGGTCCTTCCTCTTGATCCCCTTCCAACCTATTGGGATTTCTGTGGTCTCAGCCCCACATACATCCCCAACCACACAATGCTCAAAGGGCAGGAGGTGTCTCCTTCTCAAAGATGCTGTCCTTGAGCCTGTTCCCCACTGCCCATCTCTGCTGGACCATCTTCTTCTCTTGTCCCCCTCCGTGGTCTCTACGCCACCTGCCCTCTGTCACTGGTCCTCCAGGCCATGGTGTGCTAGAACAAACCAACCTTGTCCTCTCCTTTTCAACAAAACATGGCTTTTCAAAGCAAACATGCTTTTTCTTTTTAAATCTTACTATGAGTTTAAAAACCTCCCTGTGAAACTCAAAGTCTAGGAAAGACCTCTTCGGCCCTCCGTGCCCTCCTTCCCCCTGAAGTAAAGAACCACCAAACAGGCACAAGGGAAATTTCCAGACATGAGGATAAGTGAGTTTAATGTTTTCAGATTAGTGTCACCCTCCCTGCCATACACCCACATGTGCACTGAGAGGCTGCACAGTGGCCTGTACCTCAGAGCCCGCAGAGCGGAGCGTGGGACCCCCAGACCACGTCGGGCAGGAATGCCGTGTTAGCGTACGGTCACACCTGCAGCACAAGAAACTCACAGGTGGGGGAGGGAAGCGCGGGGCATTGTTCAGTAATTTGGTTCCTAATATTTCTCCTTGATTTGATTTCCCAGGGAAAACCTGGAGCCCCAGGGCCTCCAGGAATTCCAGGAGAACCGGTGAGTCGTCCTTTCTTAACTTACCGATTGTACTTGTGTTGCACTGCTTGCCATTTTAAAGCTTCTCTTGGCTCCTAATGTTTGTCTGTGGACCTATCTGCAGGGGGAAAGAGGGCCTGTTGGAGACGTAGGTTTCCCTGGACCCGAAGGACCCGAAGGAAAGCCCGTAAGTCCTTTTTAGTCCTTAAAATTTGCCAGTTTAAGAAAATTCTAAGCATTGGCCTCTTTACCAATCTCTGAAAATCTGAAATTTGAGTGTGATATTTCCAATGAAGTAAGAGCAGGTTCTGCAAATGGCTTTTGGTTGGGGGGGGGTGGAGGTGTGGCTCCTACCGAGTGTCCCAGCTCCCTGTGAGCATCTCTGTGTCTGGAACTACAGTGAGAACAGTGAGGTCATTTAAGTGTCAGGAAATTGGACTCATTATTTCCTAGGTCTGATGTTCTCCATGGAGTTAGAAAAGAAAGTGGCCTGTCATGTCCTGAAATATGGAAACTCACAGATAAAACACCTGTGTTCAGCTAAGGACTCAAGTAGAAGCTATTTTCTCAGATTCCCTCCTTTATGGGCCTCGTTCTTACACTTTCATGAATCGCTGCTGCCAGATACATCATGCCGTCCTGTCCTAGAAGAGCTCTTGGCTACTGAGATGGAATCTTGATGCAACATGCAGCAATGGTTCCTACTAAATCAGTTCCATTCAATGTATATTCATTCATCTCTTCCCTGCTGTTTGCTAAGGATGTGCTGGGCCCTGAGAGATGACATATAAAGAGGAATAAGACATACCCCACTCTCTGGTGTACCCTTCATAGTGGGTGCTGCTCCCTTTGCTTGTTTCTCTGTGGTGATGTGTGTGGGAAGGGGGTGCCTCTGGGAGAAGGGGGTGCTGAAGCAGTGCAGAGTTCAGGAGCTGCTCAGTTATCTGTGAAACCTCAAGGGCGGTGCCTCCCCGGCCACCATCTTCCCAGAAAAGGCAACATAAAGATACAAGAAACGTAAGCCATTTTGAGTCAGGAAGATCTGGGTTTGAGCTATAACTCAAAGGGTTTGTGAGTCACTGAAGTAACGCAACATATGGTGAGATGTCTGGTGTCTGTCCTAGGAGACGCCCATCAGTGTTAGTTTCATCCCCTGCCTCCTCCTTTCCCCTCTTTTACCAACCCCCTATTCCCAACCCCTGTCAGCCACTCCTAAATGCTTGCCATCAGGGTCCCAGGGAATTATGCAAAAGGCAATTTGTTCATTCAACAAACATTCCTTGAGCACCTAGTCCATTCTAGGCGCTATTCTGGGTGCCTACAACTCATCGGATTTACATTCTAGTATTGGGACACAGGTAGCAGACAAATAAATACACACACAATTTCAGGTGGAAGACGAACTGAGCAGAGTGAAGCCCTAGCATGGCATTCAACAGGACAGTCAGAAAGGCCTGCTGTTTGGGCAAAACCTGCATGACCAGGGAGATCAAGCCATGGAGAGGCAGGGCTGGGGGGATATTGTTTCAAGAAAAAGGAATGGCTAGGGGAGCCCGTGGTGTCCAAGGAAGAGCAGAAGGCATGAAGTCCAGAGTGACCTAGCTAAAGGAGGGCGGGGAAGATAAGGAGAGAGAGGTGGGCAGTGGCCAGACCACGAGGAACTCCTAAGCCAGGAATAGAGTTTGGGTTGCATTTGAAGAATGATGGAGACCCATTGGAGCAGCGGGGAAGGAAATGGTTGAACTGCATTTTTTTTTTTTGAGTATGGTCAGTTTGCAATGTTGTGTTAATTTCTGGGGCACAACGTAATGATTCAGTTATATATATAAATATATATATATATATTCCTTTCCATATTCTTTTTCATTACAGGTTATTGCAAGATATTGAATATGGTTCCCTGTGCTATGCAGTAGGACTTTGTTGTCATCTGTTCTGTATTCAGTACTGTGTATCTGCAAATCCCAAACTCTAATTAGGCTGCATTTTAAAGGGCCCCCCTGACTGCTGTGTGGACAGCTGACTGTCGGGAGTGGATTGGTAGCAAGCAGTGGGGAGCATTGCCCTAATCCCCGTGAGACGTCCTGACAGTGGGAACGGGGGGGGGGGGATGTGAGGAGGAGGGGATTTAGGATGTGAGTCGAAGGGAGTGCCAACCAGACTTCCTGATGGCCCAGATGTGGAGTGGGAGGAGAAGACAGATCAAAACAGGGGTGTAAGGTCACAGCCACTGTGTCAGGGCGGTGCGTTGGATGAGAAGGGGAGGTTTGGGAGAAGAAACCAAGAGTTCTCTGTTTTAAAATGTTCATCTTGAAGCAGTGCTAGGTATCCAAGTGGAATGCTAAGTAAGCAGTGGATACATGCATTGGGAATTCATGGGGAGGCCAGGACGGGAGACACTGATTTGGGTATTTCAACCTGCGCCTGGACGAAATGGAGTCCCTGCGAGCTGGGAAGAGAAAAGTGCACTTGAATGTCAAGAGAGGATCTGGCCAGGCTGAGAAGGTGTAGGTGAAGAAAATCTGGCAAAGGAGGTTTCCTGGGTTTCAAGGGAGCTACGTGTGTTTTTAAGAGAGGAGAGATCGACATACAGATAAGTTGCAGGGGAGCTGACAGTTGTCCGCTGGCTTTGGGAATGCGGAGGTCATCAGTGGGAGAGATCACAGCATGCCAGCATCTTGATGGGAATGATCCAGTGGACAGGGGATGTTCTGAAAATACGAGAGTGGACGTTGAGTAAGGAGAGAAGACTGACATCCCACTCACCGGCGGGAATTGGTCCTAACAAGGAACAGGGCAGAGCATCCTTCTTCACAGGAGGGAGGGGGCAGGGCGGGAGTCAGAGTACAAACCCACACGGGTGGGTGGACCTGGTGGAGGAGTGTGTCTTCTCCTGTTATTTTCTCAGTGAATGAAGTGAAGTCATTTGTTGACGGTGAGGAGCAGGGTGGTGATGCTGGAGGTCTGACAAGACAGGAAAATGTGTGAAAGAGTGCTTTTGAAAAGAAGGAGTCAGATCAGGAAATGTGGAAGGGTGGCCCAGTGATGCCGAAGGGCTGCCTGCGAGATGCTCTTACACATGTAGATGAGAACAGGTGAGCAAGGGTACCTGTTCCTCAGCCAGTCAGCTGCTCCGATGCAGGTGGACAATGGACAGGACATCGGTTACACCTGCTGGGTTAGAAAGGAGCATAGGGTTCTCCCAGATAAGTGAGATGAGGGGGAGAAAGGTAAATGCATTTAGGCTTTTCTAAAATTTTCTGAAAGCAGGGCCCCCTCCCCATCCCACTGCCATGGAAAGCAAGTTAGTAACAACTTCATGGAGAAAAGAGAACACACAGGATAGTCTTTGACGATTGACAAGGGACAAAAAAAAATTGTAGGTTTATTTATTTTCTTATACTACTACCAAAAACATGAATTACATTTTTACACTGGATTTATCCTCTTTTATTCAAGTGGTGCAGTGTTTCTTTCACACACTCCCCCTAACCAGCTTGATCTCTTTGCGTGTGTTTCTGGATGACATAGACCCTTGGAACCCGACACTTCAGGCAACACGATCTGAGTTAGAGTGCTGTAGATAATTCCAAGGGTGTCCCCAGGAGTGTGGGGGTCTGGGGTTGGGCTCTCAGCTGTGACAGGTGTCAGTGTCATTGGGAGCAGTGACCACATGCGCTTGTCCGCAGTCCCATCCTTGCTGACTCCGCTCCAGCACAGTAAATGTCTTCTGGGCTTCTCAGAGAAGCGGGTCCTCCCAGTTGCCTGCTGGCTAAGAAACCGTCTTCCCCACCTTGAGCTCCCTCTTCAGATCTGATCTCAGAAACACACCTGCTGTTGGGCTCTCGGTATTTGACTGGACCCCAGCCTTCTCCCATCTCCCCGCCACTGGCTCTCCCAGGCTTATAGATCTGCAAGCAGAGCTGGGCTTTATCCCCACCTGCAGAACTGCTTCGGAAAGTTCTGGAAACTTCCAGTTTACTCATAAAAAGCTGCTATTTAATACTCTCAGAAAACATGATTATGGATTTCTCGCTGTCCTTTCATGTTTGCCAACTGAAAAACAACAATCGTGCTCTGGCTGATGGTTTATTTCATTGTAGGGTCAGGTTCTGACCTTGTTATGAAATTTCCCAAGAAGCAGCGGAGACCACTTACTGAGAATGACTCTCTATGGTAGAAAAACCGTTAGAAGGGAGAAGAAAATGCCAGAGACCGGCCACCCAGCACCAGGGGGAGCCGCCCTGTTGCTCAGAATGTACCTAATGGAACAAGCAGGGGAAATAACCCTGTTGACTATTTACAGGAAGCTGGGCATTTTCTGTTATTTCACCAAATCCTTCATTTTAAGGCCGTTATTTTATCCTCACTTTATAAGTTAAGGAGCTGACGCTATTAAGGTTAAGCAATTGCCTGAAGGAAGTGGAACTTGTCAGTGACAGAATCAGAATTTAAACTCACGGCTGAGTCTGTCTGTTTTGTTTTCCATTTCACTGCTCTGCCTCACCAACATCTCGGTGGGAATATGATAAAGTTCTTGAAACTTTACCCTTGTGCTGTGTTTAGCTATGTCTGGTAACACCGAATTTGAAACATTGATCATGTTTTGTCTTACAGGGAATAAATGGAAAAGATGGATTACCAGGTGCACAGGTATGGAAAACACCATTGGACATTGGTGTCCTAATGCAAAACTGCACCCCAGATTACCTGCCAGAATTCCTGATCAAGCAGATTGATGAGAAATCTTGGTAAGCAGTGGTTTTTAGTGCTGATCTTTGTTTTCCAGGGCATCATGGGTAAACCTGGAGAGAGAGGCCCCAAAGGAGAACGGGTATGTATACTACTATTGCGAGTGTTACATTTTTTGTATTTTTTATTGACATACAGTCAGTTTACAATGTGTCCATTTCTGGTGTATTTCATATATATTTCAGTCATACATAAACATACATATACTTTTTTTCATATTCTTTTTCATTATAGGTTACTACAAGATATTGAATATAGTTCCCTGTGATCTACAGTATAAACTTGTTTATCTGTTTTATATACAGTAGTTAGTATCTGCAAATCTTGAACTCCCAATTTATCCCTTCCCACCCCCTTTCCCCCCAGTAACCATCAGTTTGTTTTCTGTGTCTGTGAGTCTGTTTCTGTTTTGTAAATAAGTTCATTTGTGCCACTTTTTTTAGATTGCACATATACGTGATATCATATGATATTTTCCTTTCTCTCTCTGACTTACTTCACTTAGTATGGTGATCTCCAGGTCCATCCATGGTGCAGCACATGGCATTTGTTCATTCTTTTTTGTGGCTGAGTAGTATATATGTGCACCACAACTTCTTTATCCAGTCGTCTGTTGATGGACATTTCATTTGCTTCCATCTGTGGGCCATTGTAAACGGTACTGCTGTGTGTTCTCCAGGGGCAGTCTACCCAGGCAATAGAAATAAAGCAAAAAGAAACAAATGGGACCTAATTAAACTTACGAGCTTTCGCACAGCAGAGATCCTTCTTTATTATTATTTTTTTCCCTTAACAGGGTGATCAGGGAATTCCAGGAGACAGAGGCCCACAAGGTGAACGAGGGAAGCCAGGCCTCCAAGGTGTGAAGGGGGCCATAGGTCCTGTGGGGCCCCCAGGAAACAGGGCTCCGTGGGACCCCCCGGGCACCAAGGCCCTCCGGGCCACCCAGGCCTGCCCGGCTCTCCGGTAAGTGGTACCGAGAGCTTCGGACCCCCTGGCTGGGATTGACCATGTGTCCCTCTTACAACAAAAGCAGTCGTAAACCTTTCAAAATAAATAAAATGAACCTAGACTGGTCTCCACAAGGGCAGCAAGTTATACCCAGCGTCC